TTTCGGGTCGAGACCCTTCTTCAGAAAATTTTCTGAAGAAGGGTCTCGACCCGAAACGTCAGCTTACCTGCTCCTCTGATGCTGCTTGGCCTGCTGTGTTCATCCAGCTCTACACCTTGTTATCTCACTTTTAGAACTCACACTGCCAAGTGCAAGATAATGCCTTGAGTGGTAGCAGCTTTGAAGTTGAACTGATAGCCTTATAATCTAATTAACCCTGACAATCAATCAACAGCAATTTTCACAGGAGCATGTATTGTATCTGAAGTGGCTGCTTGTATTGTGCAGGAAGCCCCTTTTAAGATATAACTTTGATGTACAAAGAGTCATTTTAAGTTAGAATTTGTATTAATAGCATAACTGGCATCTGGATGTCTTCAATGGAAGAGAACTGGAATTCGTGCAGGTATACACAAATAAATATTTATTGGCTATTTACACTCATTACAAGGTATACTGCATGCAAGGCTTCATCAGAAACTTTCTCTCTCCAGTTTCAGTTCCAAGTGATCTGACAACATTGAAAATATACTATAGCAATTAGTGTAACAACTAATTAACCTGTGATAGGACAGAATTGGTCAGAGTCTTAAAGTACTGCAGACAGAACCAGTTCGAATGGCGATCAAAATACTCATGCTTTTCCCTCCCTCAACCCTGCTCCTTCTACTGTTCTAATTGATTGATAGTCCTGTGAGACAGTTTTTACTGAGTCATCCTGGGACACCCATTTGTTGTCTGTTTGCTTATCAGTCAGTGTCTCGTGAGGTACAGTCCATTATGCTTCAATGGTCAGTTACCTTAACCAGTAAAGTATTTTTAGGAAAATGGTTAACAGTCATGCAATATCAGAAACTGAAGAAGGGTCCTGACCCGAAACGTCAGCTTTCCTGCTCCTCTGATGCTGCCTGGCCTGCGCTGTGTTCCTCCAGCTCCACACCTTGTTATCTCTGACTCCAGCATCAGCAGTTCTTACTATCTCTTAACTGGCTATGAAATGCTTTGAGGCATCGTGCAGCCATGACAGGACTGTTTAATTCCCAATCTTTCTTTATGCAATACCTATGTCCTTACCTAAGAAAGGATGAATTTGTAATAGAGGGAGGGTAGAACAAGTTTCACCAGACTGATTTCTCAGGTGGCAGGTTTTTCGTATGAGGAGAGTTTAATTTATTCGTGGGATGTGGGCATCACTAGCTAGGCCAGCATTTATTGCCCATCTCTAATTGCCCAGAGCTCAGTTAGGAGTCAACGGCATCGCTGTGGGTCTGGAGTCACATGTAGGCCAAACCAGATAAAAGACAACAGTTTTCTTCCTTAAATTAAATTTGTGAAAAAGATGGACTTTTCCAACAATTAACAAATGGTCTCATAGTCATCATTAGAGACTTATTTCAGGAATTTTCCTGCTTTCAAATACAAACATCTGCCATGTTGGGATTTTAACTCAGGTCCCAAGAGCCCAGATTGGGCTGACTGGGCCTGTGTTTGTAAGAATGAGAGTGGGCTTTGTTGAAACTTGTAAAATCCTAACACGATTGGAAAGATTGGAAGCAGGATGATGTTTCCTCTGGCTGGATAAAAGGGATCATGGTCTTCAGGATAGGGTAAAAACTATTTTGGACTGAGATGAGAAATTTATTCAGTCAAACAGTGGTGAACTTAGGGAATTCTCTACTAAAGAAGGCTGCAGAGGCCAAGGTATTGAATGTGCTCAAGAAATAGATTTCTAGACACTAAAAATGTCATCACACGTGTTTCAACTCATCAAAATAGGTGAGAAATTCACCTTGAGTTGATATTTTTGTGAATTGTGAATTGAGAGCAAATTGAAAAGTTTGAAAGAAATGCATCATAAGACCATAAGACCATAAGACCTAGGAGCAGAAATTAGGCCATTTGGTCCATCAAG